GAAATTTTTCATTACAACAAATAGTTGTTTAAAAAATTTTTTCAAACAATTTTAAAATTTTCAATCAATATAATAATAACAATAATAACAATAATTAATACTAATAACAATAACAATAATTAATAATAATCATAATAGTAATATCAATAATTAATAATAATCAATAATAATAATAATCAAAATAACAATAATTAATAATAATCATAATAATAATATCAATAATTAACAATAATCATAATACTAATAATTAATAATTAATAATCATAATAATCATAGTACTAATTATAATAATCATAATACTAATAATTAATAATTAATAATAATCATAATAGTAATAATTGATAATATAGTAATGTAATAGTTTAATAGTAATAATTCATAATAATAATCACAATAATAATAATAATAATTAATAATCATAATAATAATAATATTAACAATTAATAATAATCATAATAATAATAGTTAATAATGATTAATAATAATAATAATTATTATTAATTAATAATAATAATAATAATCAATAATAACAATAATAATAAATAATATTAAAAATTTTTTTCAAACATTTATCTTTAATAGTTTTTCAAAAGAAATAAATTATTTCAATTTTTTCAATCGAACAATTTCATTTATTTTCCTTCATCATTTTCTTCTTCTTCTTCTTCTTTTTCAAAACTATTTCTTTTCAAATAAACTAAAACAATTTGTCATTTTGTCATAATCATACCTTTTTTTTCCCATCATCATCATCATCATCATCATCATCATCATCATCATCCTACAACTACTATTTCAATGCATACAAAATATGTTTGAAATAATTTTCAAATATGCAAATTTTCAAATATGAAAAATTTTCAAATATTTTCAAATAATTTTCAAATTTTCAAATATGTAAAATGATTTTCATTCTTCATCATCATTTTTTTTTTTACAACCGAATAATTATTATACCTATATAAATTGAACAGGAAAAAAACAAAGGAAATATTATAAACCTTAAAAATCAAAGCAAAAAAAAAAGGAAAATGATTATTTACATTTTTAATGAAAATACATTTTATTACATCGTAAAAAATTGATAAACTATCACGATGAGCTAACGAATTTTTTTTGACTAATTTCTTTTCTTTTTTTTTACCCTGAAATCAATTTGTTTGTAATGAAATTTATTTTTGATTAATGATAATGAATAATTGATTGGAAAACGAATAAACTATCAATCAATCAATTAAATAACATTAAATATTAAAATGTCATATTTTCTTCTTTCTTCTTCTTCTTCATCATCATCATTATTATTATTATTATCATGTTATTGTTAAATGTTAGCGCTATGTGAAATTTACATCATTGAATTTGAATGGCTTCATAATTTAACAGATAATAATAAATGATAGCAAATGGTGAAAAATATTATTTCAAAATTAGCAATTTATTAATTATTAATTTTGCATTCATTTAAGATTGAAATGATTTCGTAATTTAACAACAATAATAAATGATAGCAAATAGTGAAAAATATCATTTCAAAATTAGCAATTTATTAATTATTAATTTTGCATTCATTTAAAAATTTTTTCTTCACATCCTTTTCTCTTCTATTCTATTGATTATATTAGGTCTAAAATGAAAATGATAATAATACACATCCCTTTTTTTTCTATTCTATTGATTATATTAGGCTAAAATGATAATATGATAATGATACACATCCCTTTTTTTTTTTTCTATTCCATTAATTATATTAGGTTAAAATGATAATGATACACATCCCTTTTTCTCCTTTCTATTGATTATATTACGCTAAAATGATAAAATGATAATGATAATAATTTGTTATCATCTATCGTTTACATTTTTTTCAAAGAGCAAACAAACTCATAGCATATATATATAATTTATTTCTAATTAGAATTAGGATGATATCTTTCAATCATATCAATGATTAAATGATAGTTTTATTCACGATTTGTTCACCTGTAAAAATAGCAGCACTCTTCTTTTTTTTTACTAACTTTTTGCAATGATCATTATAAATGACAGATTTCTAGAAAGAAAATAAAGAAAACAAAAAAACAAAAAATGGAAAAAAATGTCCTAGAAAATAATAAAACCGTTTTTCTATTATGTAGAATTATTTTCAAATTATTTTCTGATATTAATTGATTTCTATCTCTTTTTTCAATTCGTCAAAATTATCTGAAAAAAACTTTTCCACATTTAAATTCTGTCACAATTAAAAATTTGCCCGATTATTATTATTATTATTATTATTATTATTGCTAATAATAATATCATTATTTATTAGGTTGTTGTTTTACGATTATTACTATCGTCCTGAAATACTATCATTATTTATTAGATTGTCGTTTTGCGATTATTACTATCGTCCTGAAATACTATCATCATTTATTAGATTGTCGTTTTGCGATTATTACTATCGTCCTGAAATGCTATCATTATTTATTAGATTGTCGTTTTACGATTATTACTATCGTCCTGAAATTAATTTTGCAAATAGAATAATTACTGATATCGTCGAAAAAAAAATTCATTACTTTTTCTTTTTAAAAGAATAAAATTTTAATTTCTCCTATCTTAAGCTTTTCAAAATTATTTTCATTGAATTTCTTCTCAATTCTCTTTAATTAGCTTTCGTTGCATTCTCAATCAAATCATCGTTTTATATGAATTCGTACAAATACAACATGAAAAAGAAAGTACGACATTTACTCATATGTTAATTAAGATAAGCAAACTATTCATTAAGTGAATTTAGTGAAATATATAAAGATAGAGCATTTCTTTTTGGCCAATAATTTTCAGCAATCTTAACCGGCAAACTATTCATTAAATGAAATTAGTAAAATATATAAAGATACAGCATTTCCTTTTGGCCAATAATTTTCAGCAATCTTAACCAGAAAATATTCCATACATAAACTGATATGAAAAATTCCGGAAAAAAAAAACTTAATAATTTTGAATTTGGATATTAATCTTTACTTAATTCTTTTTAATAGAAAAATTAATAATAATAGGAAATGATTAAAAATATTTCAAATCAAAAATTACGAGTCAAATAAATGAGCAAAAATATGGACAGATGTAATTGAATGGAAAAGTATACTGTCACTTATAGTTGCTTGCAGAAGCAATTAATGATATGATAAATAAGGTAAGAAAAAAGTGAAAAGGTGTGAGGGAGAAAGAGAGAAAAAAACGAAAAAAAATAGTAGAAAATAAATGGTTGATTAGAGAAGTGATCATAAAATAATTATTATCAATATTTTTGAACAACATTCATTCTGTATATGTCCATTATTGGATAGTAACGTTGTAAACAATCTTAAAGATTTCATCATTGTGACATAAATAAAAGTGTAATATTGCCGAAACGAAAATCATTGTGATAAAAGTAAAGTTTCTATGTCAATTACAATACCTTTTTTTCTTTTTCATTAAAAGAAAAGAATGATTAGACTGCATAGAGGAAGCTATTCTCAGAACAATTCTATCATTTTTTTTCCCTTGAATTTTTTAAATAACATACCAAAAATACTATAATTAATAGTAGAAGAAGTTTTAAACATAATTGAACACAGAATAAATTAGGTATATATTCAATATAACTTAAGTAACAAAGAGACGAGATTCATGTGACTTAGAAGATATGATAATATCATATACAAACACACACACACATACACACACACACACGCGGAATACTGTTACGAAGAATTAATTCCTACTAGTATCATTTAGAGAGTACGGTTTGCTCTATGACCTCAAATCTATGATTTACAGTGAGAGGGAGTGTCATTCGACTAAGTTAATATACACCCCTCGTGGTACTATTGGCGAAGAAATTAATTTGTGAAAAGTTAGGACAATGATAGAAAGCTGCAATAATTTGATATGTACCGTAATCTGGCACAGCAAATTATACCGTAGTGAATAAATGGTTCAGCTTGGCTGAATGCCAGATACACCTGACTGGCAAGTAGCAATTATTGATTCTGAAATTGGCGTTGTTTTTTTTTATCATCGTGCTCGTTGTAGTAGCTTTAGTGTTGGCCAAGTTGAAGGTATTGACCAGGTGGATGATTTTAGTGGCTAAACGACCCAAGTGTTCAAGAAGATCATTTATGGTATTTTTTTTATTATTGCTTTTAAATTTTGTGAAGTTTTGATGAATAATTTGTTTAGTATGTATACATGTTTAGTTATATAAAATTTTACTGCGTTAAATTCAGCATTCATCATTTCGGAATGTTTTATTTATTTACAACAAAAGAAATGTATTTTGTACTAGAAAAGAGATATTTTTCATTCCTGAATGCATCGTTTTTAAAAATGAACAGACATCGTCAGTTATTTCAAGAAATAAGTAGTTAAAGATGATGAGTTATCATAGACATATTAATTTCTGATGCTTTATATGCTGATTTTATTTCAAGTGTTACAGTAATCTATGTTTCTGAAAACCAAATCGAGACTCTCTACAAGTACATTTGGTAATATTTACATCTGGTAATATTTATATCTAGTAATATTTCTATAACTTTCAGTATATAATATCAGTAGTGATATAATTTTATTTACGTACACTTTTATGCTAGCTACGTGATTTCATGTAGAAGTTCTCCCAAATATGATGTTCCACGCTAGATCATGTGGTCTGGAATGTTTCTTTACCCAATAACAGAATATTGCGAGCAATTTCTATGGAAACCTGAGTTGATATTTCAATTGTTTTCTAGTAAATTGGATAATCGAATGAATGATTGAAGCGGTTCTGGTAGAGGAATTCGTTTAGTTCCCGACCCGTACTAAAATAAATATGTAAGTTAATTCATTAAACCATATTGACCGGACTTATTTTCAGGGATGGCGCACATTTGAAAAATTATTCATCCAGTGGATGGTGCATTTTTAGCTGTTTCGCAGCACATTTCATTTTTTTTATTAATCACTCGTTCGACTGATTGATAATGACTGATCAAGCAACTATTATTTCTGATACTACTTCTAAGCAGCAGCAACAACAACTACCACAGCAACAACAGCTGTTACAACAACCGCAGCAGCAGCAGCAACAACAACAACAACAATCGCATGATCATCACGTGGAAAATTATCATGCGTCACCTGCCGACGGTGTACAGAAAGATGAGAAGGGTATAATTTTTGTTGTCATATTTATAGCTTTATTATTAATTTACTTAACAGTGATTATTTTTTTTGTTTATCAATTTTTTTTATTTTAAAATTTATTCCACTTCTAAGTGATTATGTTTGTTTGATAAGCAAGCAGATAGCGATGGTTGTTGTCTAAGAGTTGCTTTGTTCGTACGTCTTTCGTTGGTTAAGAAGATATTGAAGCAATGATTAATTGCTTGAAATATTTTTTCCTTCTTCATTCGTTATTTAGTACGAAATTAGCGAATTTCAGTACTTCTGAAATTTGACAAGAATATCTTTGCTTATTGGCAAATTAAATGATCCATTTATGCTTATTGGCATATTTGTTAAATGAATATCACATTTAACGTAGTCTTGGACCAAAATAATTGTTAACAAAGGGATATTTCTACTTATCTCTATAATTTTCTTTTTGACTAGAAAATTCGTGAATTCAAATCAATATTAAAGTTCAACAAAAAACCCAGAAAGCTTTTCAACAAGATCCAGAAAAATATTTGTGACGAAGAATTTGCGGGGTTTTGTTGAAAAGTTGAGTTGGATTGAAAGAAAGTCTAAAATATCCAATTCAGAAAGTTCATTAAACTGTTTTCAGTGGTTCTCAATTTTCAGGTTATACCGTTGTTCCAGCAAGTGTTAGCTTTCGCGGTGTAAGCATGAAGTTAGATCTGAAAATTGATCAGAAAACGTTGGCTGCTGCAACGAATTTCTCGAAAGTTGTAGAGGAAGCTGTTTCCACTCATCTTTCATCATCGGTTATACCGGTGGAGAACGATGAAGTGGGCAGTTCACTGATACCACACATTCCACCTACGTCTACAACAACTACTGCTCACCCCTACCATTCAGTATCCTCATTTACAGTCATGGAGCCTGCTAATAGTACCAAAGAGCCACCTATCTGCGATAGCTCAGTCGAGAGTAGTACTACACTTTTGGTGAGAATTTTGGTCCGCCTTATGCGCAAGAGATTTCAATTATTAAACAGCTAAAGCTATAATGATTAGTACAGACTACCAATGATTTAATGAGTCAAGATTTTGATTGTTGTAGTCTCCACTTATCAGTTGCTCTTTTGTTGAATTAACACTTCAATTTTTGTTTTTTTTCTTTTTTCTAAAATATAATTTGGCAGCTTCGCTAACTTTTTGAACTTATATAGCGAAACATATCCGTAGTGTCTTAATGGGTCACTCTTAGGATGAAGTTTGGAAAATTTTCTCTTGAACTTTTCTTGTAAAAGTATCTTCGTGGTCTCTTGCTTCGGCTCATATTTTTGCACTATCCTAGGATGATCTTTCAATTTCACCCGTGCACTTGACGGGTAAAGTTTTAACAAAAATGTTTTTTTATTTACTTTTGTACTTACTCAGATTTAGTGGTATTCATTTCATGCACTCAGATTTGCTTGCATCCTGTAAGACTAGTCGTAGTGTCGTAATGAAGTTGTCAATAATATTGCTATACGTTGAAACTTATGTAGTGGATCTTACTCCCTACAAGGCAAGAATTCACTATGTCCTGTACTGGAGAGATAAGGTCGGGTGGAGCAAACCGATTTTATCAGGAAGTGATAACTCGAGACTGCAGTCATGAAATGGGTTTGATCCAATAAAAACAACTGGATTCAGTATATCCAACTGCATCTCGGTAAGAATCATCGTGATACTCGTGTCGTTTTGCATTTGTCTGAAATTTCGATATTATTTTCTGGCAAATTTCAGGGTAGAAATGAGTTATGTGAGCAAGTGAACGAAGTATGTAGTTCTACCGTAGATGCAAGCCCATTTTGCGATACTGCTTGCTCACCTATACAACTCGAATTACAAACCAAATTACCACATGGTATCATGAACAGTTACATGAAATCTCCAGATGATACACCTCCTGCTTCGTCTGAAGAACAAAATAGTTAGTAAAAATGTTGCTTATTCATGCTAGGAATATATGCAGTCATCACATCTTGAGATCGGTATTTCGCAGCTTTAAAGGATAATAGTGCTGAGCATATTGTCTAAAATTCCCAAGATTTCAACTTTATGTGTATATATTACAAATTCAATTTTTCAGTTGTATCCTAAATTTAAAGCAAGTAATGTTTTTTCCAGAGAAAAATATCTAATCATGTGGCTTTCTGCAGTTGTGAATTTTGAATTATTTTAAATCTTGCTTTTTTCCAGATAGTCGCACTGTTACATTATTGAATATTAAATTAATTTAGGAATTGCATCGCATTCATTAGTCAAGGAAGAACTGACCAATTTAGTGGCCAATACTGCTGCACCGGATAATATCTATCTTACGCCATGTGCATCAACTTCATCAGCTGAAATAGATGCTACTGCATATTCACCACTACTGGCTAAAAGACGAAAGGAGAAGTCAACTACAGCATCTCATCTTTGTGAACAGATTGATCCAGAAAAAGGGCAGGCATGTTCTTTCATTTTTTACTGAGTTCGGAAAAAAAAATTCGTTTTCATTGCATTTTATTCATTAGATCAATTTCAGTGTCGACAACGAGCTATCGTAAATTATCGTTACTGTATTCGTCATATACTTCTGGATCCAGAAGCACCTTATATACAATGTCAACATCAACGTAAGCCGAAAAGTGCGTTTTTCCATTGTTTTGCCCACTGTTGAATACTTAATGTTTCACTGCGTTTTATCTTTGGAATTTCTCCACAAGTTATCAAAAGCGGATTTTTGATTTTTAGGCAAAAGAGATACCAATTTGCTTTGTACGAATGCAGTACGAAAAGACAAAGGAACAATTTACTGCAGTACGCATTTGATCATGAATGGATTAATGGAACCAAGAAAAAAGAAAGCGAAAGCAGGTGCAGTGATTGTTGAGAGCACAGAACTTACTTCTTGTAAGAACAATGTTTGGAATCGGTCCATGATTACTGGGAAGTCGAACTTTACAACTTCATTGTCACCAGCATTAGTGGATACGTACGAAGAAATGAATTGTATGTGTTTGTTTTGAAAATTTGAGTATGTGAGTATGATGACCTTTATTACGTTTCCCACATTTTTTCCCCTATTTTGAAGAGGAGGCCAATAGTTATTCAATGTGACCGTTTTGATGTGCTCTATCATGTGATAATGTGCGTACCATATGAATGATGAAGTATGTTATTTATTGAGCAACCCCTTAGGTCATCACACATAATTAACTGTTTTGAATAATGGAGACTTAATGATTTATTTGAAAGTAGCACAATAATTTTATTCAAGAAAGGACTTTATGATCAAGTCACTAAACCACAGTTAAATTCAAATTTATTGGAGGTACGTCTCGCGCAATAGAACAAACTTGTATAAGGAATGATGGTGTCGTCTACAATAATGTCTTGAATAGTGCCGTGATAGCTGTTGATTCGGTGACCAACAAACGAACGGTGTATCATTTCTCAAAAACATCAGTAGCCAATACTTTACCTATGGAGGGAGGTATCGTTACCGTGGCAACAGAGACAAGGAATGAAGTGACAGCGGCTTATGATAATGGTATATCAGCTGAAGATGACGAATATAGGCTACCAAAATTACCTGTACATAAGACTATCATGCCTCTTCCTGTTATATCATCTTATGGCGGAGTACGATCAACATATGAGTGTCCTGTGCAAGCAACAACTAGTCAGGTGGTAAGCAATGACTGTGATTTTAATTGTGATTTTAATGAAGAAGGAACAATCGAACTAGAGTGATGTACCATTTGTGGTTCTATATTTCTTTTATTAACTGTTTTGTTGATGTGCTATATCTTTTGCAAAAGAAACATTTCACGCATTTGCGACCAATTCTGATGTGTGAAATCTAGAAATGTAGTCTTTCAAATTTGTTCATATTGAATGTTAGTCGATTCGGCTGATCCGCCGCGAAGTCCATGTTTTCGCTCCACATTTTCAAAACCTAAATAGGATATGCTGATTAGAAGTATAAGTAAAGCATCTGAGCAATATAGCTTTAGTACACATATTTTAAATAACAGCTAATTTATGCGATATTTTACGTTAAACCGAAGTAATATTTAGGCAAGTCATTTACAGATTCGTCGAAATCTACCTCAGTTATGTCCACGCACGGCTTCTCAAGTGGTCACACCAGCTATTATCAAAACGCGTGATGGTGTACAAATTCCGTGTGCCCAATCGGCAATTGTGAAACAACGCGTAACTGCCAATCTCAGCAAGCAACATCCGCAGCTCGCTGCTAAACTTCTTCAGGTCACTCAGATTTCTGGGACAAATAATGGGAAATTGATATTATGATTATTGTGGTTGAGATTTAACTAAATAAGCAAATAAAGAACATCGCAGATTGTCTCCAATAAGCATGAAGTAGGCATGACTTTTTTCTTTTCAGTGTAATACTAACAATGACGGATTGAGTTGTAACTTTATTATTCAGGGATTTCAGTTCCGATAATAACTCATAATAAATGATGAAAAGCTTCTAAGAAGCTTGCATCTAAGAAGTTCCCAAGAGGTTAAAATTTTATTGAAGTAGTGGATAAATATCTCATTTGAATCATTTATAGGCTCCAGCATCTACGGCGGGACAAGGCGTTGTATCATCACTATCAGGTGCTCCGATATGCTCGAATTTTGCAAAAAGTGTCATTCCACCATCACTGTTAATTTCCGAACCCCGTAATTTGCTGCCCACTACAGCGCCTCGTTTAACTTCTCTTCAGGAACCTCCTCGTTTTTATAAGACACCTGAAGATGACAAAATTAAATCAACCATCAAGCAGGAAAAAAACGATGTGCCGCAAAAGGTTAAATTTTTTTTGAAAAAGCATGATACATCCTTTATCGTTTATTGTGGAAATTTGATTAAATCAGGGCTGAGGACCAAAAAATCACTGGAATAAACTAAGAAGAGAAAATGCTGTAATGATCAGGAAGAGCAAAGCAAAAAGAAATCAGATTCGTTTATTTTTACTGTTGGTCACTAGTGTCGCTCCACAGATATTTTCAGCTGATGTTCTCACGCAGCACTATATGAGTTTATTATTTAGATCGAGATCTATAATTGGCTGATTTCTCTCATTAAAATAGCAATCTATCAGGCTAACTAAATGTTTATATCCTAATTTCAAAAATTCTATTGTTTCAGCCAAAAGTTATACAACTAAAGCAGAAGCGCAGGCGAATGAAAATGACGGGGGTTTACCGAAAAATACCTCAAGTAGATCAGATGTGTAGAGTTTTAGAGGATCAGGATTTTGATCGAACCGATCTTTTTCCTCGTGGTTAGTTCGCCCCTAAATATTCATATTCAGGTTATCGAAAACAATTAGTACATGTACAAAACCTTAATATTTTGTTCAGTTTTTTTTCCGGATATTTTCTTTATGAAGAACGTAATGCAAAGTTTTAAATAAAGATCTATCTAGTTAGTGGAAGTTTTGCAGGACTTGAGCCATCAGATGATGAGGACGAAGAAAATGATTATCTTGATCTCAGATGGTCGGAGATGGCCTGTAATACCGTTTCAGATCCGGCGCCTCAGGGAGCATTGCAAGTCTATCTAGTAAAAAAGCAGATCAGGTATCACAGTAATATTTTGTGATGGAGAAGATATACATTAGATAGCATAGGAAAACTATAATTTTGGGCATATTATTTTCGAAATTTTTTTATTTTTTTGTCATTAAAATGACTTTCGTCTGCAGTTGTTATTCTTTATTATTTTTAAGATTAGACAAGAATGCATTGATGAAAGAAGCTGTTACGAATGCTCCGATAATGCACGCCTGCAAACAATATCCGAATAGTGTTGGCGCGGCACTAGCCGATCGTGCATCCAGTTACGGGAGTGCCACGAGTGCTGTATTCAGTCAGAAAAAGTTCACCTTTTTCTTATATGATCGAAATTAAAAATTTGATTTCTATAATCAAGCAGTTGATAGGTTGGAATCATGTTTCAGCATCTGAAATAGCTTTGAGTTTTACCGTTAAATGATATTGCCGGATCAATTTTCGCAATTTTTTTTACGAGGTAAAAAAAAGGAATTTCTATCATTTGTCGAAATCTGTTCCATCATGCTTTTTCCTTCATATTTTATATTTGTTAAAGGATGATGTTCTTTACAAAACTTTTATAGCTTGTTTTTTTATTTTCAAATTTCGTAAAAATAGTACTGTTGGGTCATTGTGAATTTTTCCTGCTAGCTGAAGAGCTAAACTTTTTTCTATTGCTTTTTATCATTTTTAGATGCACTATTACGATATTGAAAGGTGGTTCACCTCCCATTCAATGCACAAATAATTGTCTTCCATTTTCCAATCATTGCGCACAACACATCTCCTACAATTTGAATCAGAAATTATTCAGTTATTGTGCTGAGCCGTGTTGCTCACAACCTGTTCTTTGTGTGGATGCACCGAAAACTTTGAGTATGTTGTGTTCATAATTGGAACCGAAAATAACTAGCTAAAGAAATACTGAAATGAATGGAAGTCGATCTGAAAAATTATATATTTTTTTCCTCATTTGAACATTTAATTTTTCAGAATTGTGCGTTCATCATTACGAGCTAAGAAAGAAGAAAAAATCCGAAGAAGAATTAGCACGGGAAAATAGTCATCAGTCTTGGAAACAACAAACACCAATATGTTACGTGCAGCAGCAGCCGATGCAATCGTATGAGGATGATATTCGTATGAATATTCAGCATTCGCATGATATTGGAACAGAAAGATTAAATTCTGTTGGTGTGAGTGACTTCTGCGAACTTGAAAGTAAGTTTTTTTGTGAAATGAAATATAATCCTTGAAATTTGAAACTTTTTCCATTATCGTTATATCGTAAACTAAAGCTGTTCTGAAAATTTTTAAATGAGCAATTTAAATTTGATGTTAAAGGGCACTAGCGTTTTTTGCGTTCCATTTTAATATGCTTTTCTTTTTTGTTTTACTCCTTTAATCTTTTTTCAATGCTTTCTTTTAGTGGGGTCGGCTTCGAGTGGAAATGAATCGGATGTATATTTGGCTTCTTTTGCTAAGGATCTAGAATTCAATTTTGATGGTAGGGAAATAAATGATATGTTGGCAAATTTCAATGTTGCTGATGGTGAAGGTACTGATATATTACACGATCAACCATTTTCAGGTAATTTGTTTTGTTATATTTCATTGTCATTTTCTTTGGAGGCATAAAAATTTGCTCATCCATGTCTCATCCACGCTACTTCATGTTCAGTAGCGAGCTAGATTGAAAGTTCCACCGCTTGTTGACTCAAGAATAGTTTCACGTTTCCAAAGATATAGAATTAAATGTTTTGCTGAGAAATACTGTGTGTAAAGAAACCTCGAGATGAATTCCGTAAAGTTCATGTTAGGCGTAGCCACTGAAGTTCAAATGAAAGAATTTCTAGCTTTAGTTAAGAAAAAAAGCCCAAAGCTGTCCAAATCCTCTAATTTCAGATGGTGTGAAGGATGAATTTTTGCAACTGCCAACAGAATTTAATGAAATGGCTGGTGGTCATAATTGGCTTGACGTGGAGCAATTTCTGATTTCGGAAGGTGTTGATTTGTCGTCATCATCTCAATCCAGCAGTATATCCGCTGTTTCGGTGCCACAGCCACTAAGTATAGTTAACGATGGAGTAGCATTCTGCGAATTCTCGGCATCATCACATCAGACACGAAGCTAACCTCATTCGTCAACAGGAAAGTATTTCTTTGACTCATTTTTTGCCGAACTCACTTTTTTTAAATAATCTCACAGCAAATGTATTTTTTTCTTGAATTGCTTCAGTCTGTATTTCTTGCTCTCGTTGTTCCAGGGAGTAATTGCTATTCCGAATAGATATTTTAGCTGCAGTAGTCCAGGGATTGCACGTATTTAGATTTACTATCCAGGAGTTTTAATAGTATATCTTTATTATTCCTGCAGAAACCTCTTTCTTCCCATCAACTCAGGTTTTTCCTTAAAAATTCTAAAATTTTTTAAACATATTTTTTAAAACGCTCACTATTCCATTGCTTTTAATAGACATTATAAGAAATTTGCACCCAACTTTGTACCGTTCCTCTTTCTGAGCAAAAGCTTTTCTGCAATTTCGGGTATGTAAATTTCTGCAACTTTTTTTTCCTTTATTTTGAATGTTGATAAGAACATCTCGTGGTGCGCTTACATACATACAGAAGTGCTTAACGCTCAAAATGATCTCATTTACCCGCGTGGGCTTATTATTGTGAAATCATTTTTTTTAATTTTGGAAGAATTTGCTTTTCCTCAGTGTGGGTAAAGTTGAATTCAATCCTGAAATGATGGGATTATTTTTGGTTATATGTGATAGCTACATTTTGTTACGTTTGATGCTGGCGTTAACTCCGTAGTAGAAGGTAGAAGAGAGTAGCACTAGCGAGAAGTCTAACATGCTAGAAGTCTAACATGCTAACTAGTCACTGATAAATTCCCAGACGTGAAAGAAAACTATTCCCGGTCTTCTTGCTTACTTATACCTTCTGTTAGCGGTCTTTCTATTTAAAATTAGTCAATCCTTTGAAACCTGCTTAGGAGATAATCTTGTCTGTGATGTAGGTACTATTTGTACCATTACAAGTAAAATCCACTGGTTCCAGGTGTTACATTATTTTTTGCTTCGTATTTAGTAGTACACTAGCTTATTGTACCGTAGTAGCTGGTTGTACCAAAGCACAGTTTACTTTTGTGATTTGTCGTGGATTTAGGTTATGAATTATGATAATAGGTGCGGCGGATCGATGTGATACAGATATTTAGTCTTGGGCAAATTATTTATTTTTATGGGTAACAATAATCTAATTAATTAGTTAGTACAATATTTCTATCCTTAGAATGTCATTAGCAAATCTGTTCAAATTCGCGATTTTTCAAAAAATGCGGTTCGAACATTGACTTTTGAAGGAACATAAGGATGGGATATATTGAATGCAAATTTGCTGCAATCATCTGATCTCTTAGAAGGAAGAAAAGGTATGTGATGGGAAGGCAATTCATGCATTTAAGATTTTCACACTTTTGAAGTGCCTTATTTCCATGAACATTGAGGATCGATATTTTAATTTTCATCCTTCGAATAGAGTGGCAGCCTAGAATGAGTTGATCTCTTCCTTTGATGCCTTTCTTTATTAAATTTTTATTTCTCCGATTAATGAGCTTTTTCCTGGATATATTCTTTTTTCGTTCGTCCGGTTAGAGAATATTAATGTTATTAAATTAGTGTATATATATACTAATTACATATATATATGCAACTTTTGTCTTGTTTTTGTACTGTGTTTCTTGTCTCATTCTATACACACTACAAGTAAATAAATGTGTATTGATATGCATTTCAAATGGGGTTTTCCAATAATCTGGCAACGCAGAAAAACAAGAAATATGTAAAAATAAGGCGGCCTGATCTGGTTGCGTTTTCGATACTAATATAGTTCAAAATGCATTGTTTTTAACAAATTTCTTTTTTAAAGTAATTAATCAAAGAGCGAGTGGTGTGATTTCTTATAAGCAACCATTTCATAATGTATCAGTAAA